GAGGCACACTCGGTTCCAGTCTTACTCTGGAGCCAGACCACATCATAGACGGGATCGTAGTGACCCACCTCCACCGACGACTTCATGCATGGTGAGGGGCCCTTGCGCAAGTCGTAGTGATTGATGAGGCCGTTGTAGCTGCCACCCAAGAGCCAGTCCGCATTCTTTTGGTTGTACTGGCAGCAAATGAGGGGTGAGGGTGCCCGCAGCTCCATCAGGGGATCGTTGCGCTCCGAGATGTCCCAAATGAACGATGACATGGGCATGTCTTCCGACATGCGCTGGAACCGGAGATTCGAGTAAGAGCCTACCAACTTCGTAGGGCCTTCGGGGTGCCATCCAATTTTGGTGACACTCCGTGTTTCATCCGGAGGGTCCTTGAAAAGTGCGATGGTCTTTAGATTGAGAATCTCCGGCATGTGATCCGGCTCCTCATCCTGGAAGTAGATCTGAAACAAGTCAATGGTGTTGTTCATCTCTAGGCAGGGTACTGTTTGCTTTGTGAGCTGCCTCACGGCGCTAACATAGGCCGGATCCTTCTCCAGCCGCTTGCGATACTTCAAAGTATCCTGAGCCTCGCTGTAATCAATCTCCTTCGGCCAACCACCTGGCGAATTCTTTAGACTTTGGGGTTTAGGGTTTTATATGGGGGTCCCTTATATAGCCCGTGGGTCTTTGTGATAAGGCGCTGCATTCCATATGAATGTCCCTTGTTTTCTGCATCACCCACCTTCCACGTGCGTCATGACCCGCGCGGAGGTCTTGACTCGGGCAGTGTTCACGGAGTGCTCGGAGAATTCCGGGATGTTGTGAAACACCGCATTGATGATCGTCTGCTCGACGTACATGTCACCACATTGAGGCTGATGGTCCACCTGCCCAAGGATCTTTGCCTCAACCGTGTCGAAGTTACAATATCGGCCGAAGTCCTTGCGTTTCTTCATGTAGATGTACTCATACTCGTTCATGGCTGCGGAAACTCGGGAGAGTCAGTTACTTCTACGAGACCTCTGCCCAGGATTTTCTGGGCCGCTTCAAGCTTCAAAGCCACCGGGAGCGCGCGCGAATCTCCCGAAACCGAAGGGAGCTTGGGAGCGCAAGTCATGATACCCGAAACACACCGAAACTGTTCTCAAGCCCTTCGGCCCACGCCCGTCTGAACCTCGAATCAACAACGAACGAAACTTCAAACCAAGCTCAATCAGCTTATAGAACTTAGAACCCACTGAAACTAAGTTCTCTGTCACTCCAAGAAGAAGCAAAGGAGCCGGGAAAGGGAGGGACTCGATCCACTCCTTCATCATCTGGACGACGGCGCTTTGGTCCTGGAGCAGACTGTGCAAGGAGTCACAAAACGAAATCACTTCCTGCGGTCTCCGTTGTAGGTCCTTTTTTGGTTGACCAAGTTTCTGGTTAAGACCCTGCAATGCAGAGATTGAGTATAAGCTCCCTGAAGGGGTTGGGAGCCATCGCGTTTCAAACCCAGTAGAAAATGCATCTGGAAGGGGTGTAGCGCAGTGTTGCTTGTAGTGGGGCAGGCATCTTGAAGTTCTCTGGTAGCGCCCCCTTTGTGGGATGGGATGGAACGGACGAAGTGCACTCCGGCCACTTCAAATTCACGATTCACAGCAACCACGAAATAACTCAGACCACCAAATGACTCAGCAACTGCAAAGGGCTGCCCGGTTGCCTACTGCGTATCAGCCGAAATGCAACCACGGCAGTTTCGACTTTGCCATGTCCGACCGCAGTACCTTCCATGGACAGGGCTGAATATACGGGCCTCAACAAGTGGAATAGGGACTATAGGGGGGATGCTACATGGTAGATGTTCAGACCATTGTACATAGTATCGAAACAGTAAAAATAGTAACTGAAATGATGTAATCCGTTGTTCTCGGGGATTACTTTGCAGACGGCGTTGGAGGCACGCCAATAACAAAGGGCTTATATGGGGTTTTGAGATTTGAGGTACACTAAGTTGCAGATAGTATAACTTGTGTTAGGGAACCCCCCAGATTTATAAGTACTTACTCGGGCCTCTACAGTCGGCTTGCATAGGGTTCGTCGAGATCTGGGTTGATGTGTGCCGCAAGGACCCAAGGATGATCTCGGCATATCACAGCCCTAGCCAAAATCTGGGGACTCCGCGGTACTTGATTTGATTTAATGGGTCCTGTAACGATGTAGGATACGATGAAACAGTAGCGTACCTGATTTTCTGACCTCTCCCATCTGACAAGCCCAAATGCCCACGCATAGGCTGTCTGCATGAAGACACAAAGCTTCTTGCATCTGCACTTGTATCTCAACCATAAGTTTGATCCAAATCTGTTCGTCCAATATTCGGCCAAGCCACTGGTACTGTAACCTTCTGAAGCCACAGCCGCCATTGCACAACTTAGGTACTTAAGCTGTCTACTTCCCTGACTAAGCCCAGAGTTGATTTGCAAATGCTCAAACGACTCAACGACTCCAACAATATTGTTCGGGTGCTGGCCACGGAAACAGCTATCAAATATCATAGACCAGGACGTGCGGCTGAGGCTGAACTCATGAGATCGGGGTGGAAGCTGGCCACAGGTTGCGAGATTTCTGCAAGGTTTCAAAGGCTCGGCTACGGAATTCGAGGCGGTGTCGCAGGACGTCGCAGCTTTAAGAAATTAGGGTCTAAGGTCTTTTTTTGTGGGCTCTTTTCGACATCGGAAAGCATAGAAGCACAAACTTGACAGAGACATATTCCTCGATTCCATCCAAGTGCAATGCAAGAAAGGATCACCCGAAAAAGGCACAACTAGTCAAGACTTAGAGCTACAAACATATAACCCCTTGTTCAGCACCTGCACTTGTGCCAGGCGTCATGGAGCATGCCCTCAAACATTGAAGCACGCACGAAGCTTAAAGCTACCATGGCGATACGGCTTTTGGCTCAAGCAGCTCCCAGCGTGACGGTCTGACCTATCATCCAAATCAGCTTCGGTCTCAGACTGTGATCCAATGGTGGCCTTGTAGGTCAAACCGTTTTCGAGGCGTGAAGCTTCAGCCAGGTGCATCATCAACAGGTGAGCTTCTTGCATGCGCAGTGCGACCGAAGGAACATCGAGGCATACCTGCGACTCACTGGGCAAAGAAGTGCCCTCGCCGTCACAGTCCAAGGATGTGCATCTTAGGAATGATCTTGTATCGCGGGCAGCTGCGAGCCACGGAAATCTCAATGAGCTGCCCATAGGAATGCCACCGCCGCCTCGTTGAGCTCGCGAGCCCCATCGTCGGTCAGCAGTCGAGGTGACCTCTCCGCCCTGTAAAAAAACCAGCAAGGCACTCTGAAGCTGCCAGCACCATCCGGGTCTCCTTTCGAAGCAGATCGTCGCCAGGTTCGGTGAGCCCCTTGAGGGCGATCGAAAGAAACAGCAACATCAGTCTGCCATTCCATGCCTTCAGCTTGAAGGTAAACCCCCAGTTCCAGTTCAAGCTGGCCAACGGTCATCGTGGCCACGGAGTGCCTCGGCGATTTTGCTAACAGAATGTTGGAATGGGAACCCGGTATGTGGCTGATTAGAGCTCGGTAAAGATTTTAAACCTGCAGCTTGCCATTAGGCTTGTTTCGACCCTGCTGACTGCAACTTAAAGCTTGCCGAGGCTAGCATCTTCTAAAGCAGGACCAGTGCAGCTGCTGCGCCTCTGCCTCGACGCCGATGTTAAAGTGCTGTGGGCCCTCCCTTGCCTCGAGCTGGACTGCCTCGTCGCCGATATGAAAGTGCTCTGGGCCCTCCGGCTTTGCATCCTTCTCGCCGTCGCCGGCTGCAATGCCCAGCAAGCATGGGTAGATGTCCTCAAAGGTGGCATCGTTCCGGTCTACGAAACCGACTTCTTGATCCAGCCGCTCCACCATTGCAGCGGGCGTCTTCATAGCCCGGGAGCGCCCCAAACAATGCTGCATCCTCCTCCACTCCTCCACTGCCCAGTGGCCTGCATCATATTCTTCAGGCGGTGAAACACAGGGAGGAGCGGGTCTGTCATGTCGCAGATTGGAGCAACATCATACCCGAAACTGCGAATGTGATCCTCTTGCGCTTCCAGCATGGCATGCACGCCACAAAGAATTTGATGCTGCTCCGCCTTCATCGCTTTCATAGCCTTCATGGCCTCCATGAGCTTCGTCGCCTTCATGGGAGCCATGGCGACAGTTCCGGGGAGTGTTCCGGATCGGAGGGAAACTTGAGAGATCTTGGAGCCGACTTGAGCCAAAATGGGGGAGGGTTTTTTTGCCTCCTACAGGAGGAGCCTGCAGTGCTGGGGGAGGAGTTTAGGTTTTAGGATTTAGGGTTTGAAGGCCTGTTCCCAATGTCTGCCCCCGAGCCGAGGCATCTCAAATCCCCGAACTTTAAAAACACCCCAACTACAGAGTGAGCGAGCAGAGCAAGCAGTCTGTATGACCGGAAATCGGCAACCCGAAGCCTTTCCGGAATCCTCGCATCCCGCGAAAGGCACACGACAAAACCACGGTTTAGGGCTTAGGGCTTTTGGGGTTTCGGCGTTCACACTCTCGGACACTCCAGGCGAGGCATGTGGTTTGAGGTCTGCAATGACGTGAAACACTCATCAAGATGAGGACCCACCCAACACGAGTTCAGGGCTTTTAGGGCTGTAGGGTTTAGGGCTTTTAGGGTTTAGGGTAGATGCGAAAGGTTTAGGGTTAGTAGATGCGACAACCGAAATCCCAAAACCCTCGAGGCATCGACGAAGCTGGAGTTTGAGATCATCATCTACAAAGCCACAGTAAACCCAAAGAGCTGCAACTCTACACCCGTCCAAGCCCCGAGACCCGGAGCCCTAAGATCTTCAACCTCATGCCATGAAGCCTAGACTCAGGCGCGGCAATAATGATTCCAAACACCCCCCACCCCCCTAAATTATACAATCTGAGAAGTACAGTACTTAGAAGAGACATGAAACTGTAAGATCTTCAACCTGAGTCTCGAAAGGTCCGAGCCCGGCGCAACCTGAGCAGCCAAGCCCTGTCTGGCGACATCAAAGGGAGGCCGATGCCCATCACCTCAGAATTGTGTTTGTTGGAGGAGGGGGGCGGGCTTTTGCGGGGTGCTTTGCTGTCTGTGGTTCGGGGAGGGGTAGGGTTTGATGCATCTTTCCGGGCCCAGACAGTGCTGCACTTGGAGATACTTCTGCACATTCGAGTGTGTAGGGGCTCGACATGTTGGACACAAAGGCTTCGAAGGATCCCAAACCCATTGCTATGGTGGGGTGTTCATGCTCAGCTCTACACGCACATCGTGTTGAACTCGAGAGGAACATTGGAGGATGCCAGGCAAGCAGTGCAAACCTCAAACATCCTGAATCATAACTCTAGGAGATCTATCTCCAATCAACACGCCCCCAAACCTTGAACGTCTCGAACAGCTCGCTTGGAGCCATGCATCTCGCACCTTCATCTGAGAGATCTCTGCTGGAACATCAAGCCTCGAAGATGACGGCTACGAAAATAAACTAACGGTAACTTAACAATATCCTAGACTATAGCGGTTTTTCCCTCTTGCATTGCAGAGATCTATGCTCACAGCGAGGTAGACTGTGAGGGGTTAGGGTTTAGGGTTTATGAAACACATGAAGGTGTACCGATCAGCAATCGAAACGACATTGAGGTCACGACACTCCTACCTCCGCCAGCTTCTCTCTGTCCACTGGCCCCCTCCTGCCTTCTTGTCCTGCTGCTCCTGCTTGAATCTCCTGGACCTCTTCTTCCTGCTCCCCGATATCGAGGACTGCGCTACCACTTTTTCTTTGATGGGAGCATCGTACATTTTGCGCCACACTCATCACTACGGCAAGATTGAAAAGGTCTGAGTCTCCCGCCCATACCAATATTAGGTCAACGGCGCACGAGTTCTATCAACAGTTCCCTTAATGCCGTAGTGGCCCTAAATGCGTGTCTAAGGGGCCTGCGCGCATGTGTGCTGCCCCATGCTGTCAAAGGATCGCCACTGCTTCGACTCCTGCGAACGAATGGCAAAGAGGAATCCTGGGATTTGTGCCGCCAGAGCTTTCGATTGTCATACCTCATACGTTCGGCTTTCATGGATATTCTCAAGTGAGTGACGTTTGGGCGAAGAGTGCTGCATTCCGGCTTTGGTTATGTCATTCTGACAACATCTGCCCATGACGCCGAAATCCTGCAAGTATTTGTGACCACAACACATGACACCAAGACAAGACCCCCGCCATCCTATCCTGAACATGGAAGCCCGGCCCGGGCATGCCCGGAGCACCTGTGTCCAGAACACTTCTTGCCAACCCCCCTGCGCCCAAGCCCAAACCCTAAACCAAAGCACCACACCTACTCTAGGGCCTTAATATTTAGAATAGATTTGGTGTATACTACACTATAGCTATAGTAAGGAACCCCCAAAATAGTATAGGTAACTGTTAAGGCCCCTATGTTGTGTGAGAAGAATGAGGGCCTGAGGCCCAACTTGCCGCATGCTGATGCTATGCGTGTAGCGCCCAAGCCAGGTGAGCTGCCTAGAGACGGAGAAAAGGGCGGGGACCAGAAAGGAGCTGCAGCGATGAACCCAGTTAGACTATGTTAGAAAAGCTGAGATTATAGGTTATGTTATATCGAACTATATTAATCTACATTTATGTTTCCGTAAGTTTCAATGGAAAACCCTGAATCGACCAAGCTTCATTAACAATCTTGAGCCCACTCCCAAGCCCTACACCCTTTAGCCATTCATGAAATCCAAACTGGTCTGATTGCTTATGTGGTTTGGCCTTATTAAGACTTTGGGGTATTTGCTTTAGTTTTCCCAGGACTTAGGATTCAGCATGATTCAGGTCAATGACGCCCACGTAACGATAAGATTGAACCTGATGCTTGAAGCTTGGGCTTGTCTGGGGGCCCCCAAACCCTGAAGCTACAAAGGCCGCTTTGGCTTTCTCAAGCTGCTTCTCTTCCCCACCCTCTGCGGTTTCGACTCTCTCACAGCAGGCAGGCAGTAGCTCATTCGGCTCCCTGGCTTAGGGTTGAGGGAACCTAATCAGAAGAGCAGAGCTGCACATGATATCACAAGGTAGACAGGGGAATTCCCAACACAACGGATAGTCTCGCAAGGTTCACCCTTCACCCATACTGCTACTGCTACTGCGCCGCCACACCGACTACTGGCTGCGAACCTTAGTCCCTAAACTTTTAAGCCCTACACCCGTCACCCATTTGCTCTTCTTCATTCCTGGACTTCGCTTCCTGAAGAGTGCAAGCACTGAATAGAGAAACTCGGCCCCCTGCACGCGGGGCGACGCACTTGTTGCAAAGCGCTCCTGTTAGGACTGTCCGTGACGGTCCATGGCGGCTGCCACTTTTGTTAGGATAGGCTGCAGGGCTGCGTTGCGTTCCAAAGACACATCCACATTTTACGATGGCTAGACTCCAAAAAGCAAGTTTGGGGTTTTGGGGTTTAGGGCTTAGACCTAGAGCTCGAAGCTCCGCAACACCCCGACATGAAACGTTTGCAGGCCTTAAGGTTTAGTGTTCATACGATTACGCGCTTAGGGTCATGAGGCTGCTTGTGCTCCGGATGGTACGGGTTGACGAGTCAAGCTGCGTGCATCACGGCGATGAGGTATCTAGGTTGAAGTTCCGGGGCGAACTAAACTCTGCAAAACCTCAATCCCTTCCAGAACTCATACATCAAGGGATCCCTGAATTCATCCATTTGCAGAACCCCACCCAACCCTCAACCACAAGCCCTTACAGGAACCCCTCCGACAAACCTTGCAGGAACCCCTAAAGCAACCCTGAAAGGAATCCAAAGCAACCCGTAAAGAAACCCTAAAAGGAACAAACCCCTAAAGCATCCCTCAAAAACCCTCCAACTCTAAAGGCAACCCCTGAGGAACCCTGAACGACTTCTTCCCAGAGTAGGGCTCCAGAAGGGCCGCGAAGACCTGTCCCGCTGGCCTCAAGATAGGCGTTCTATTTTGGAGGTTCCTCATTCTCACAATAGTACAAAATAACCCAAAGCCTTATTCTAATTACTAAGGCCCCTTTATTACCTGAAAGCACTCGCCAGCCACTTCTCTGCTGTATAGGTTTGGGGTTTAGGGCTTTAGGGCTTTAGGGGTTGGATTTTGGGTTTCAGGGCTTAGGGTTTAGGGTATGAGTGGCACGCACAAATAGTGAGTGCTGCCTTCTGATGTCTTGCGGTGCATAGGTGAAAGGAGAGTGCACCATCTGCCTGCCTGGGGGCTCGACAGGTGCCAAAAGACGCTTCGAAGTACCAGCAACGATGGTTCCTCCTTGGGAGGGTCCTTGGCTAAATACAGCTTGAACACAGGCTCCTGATGTCCAGTTGACATGATATGTCATGCAGTGTTGCTGAGCCCTGTGGTTCCCTAAAGGGTAGGCAAGGATGTTGTTGCATGTTGTGGTGCAGGATTTAGTTTGAGTCCGGAGCATGCGATTAAGGGTTTGGGCTGAGTCGTATGCTGGAGCTGGTGCTGGGGTCGGGTCTAGCTTTCCACAACGGTGTTTTTTCCAAACAAAATGCAACCAAGTCCTGCCAAGCGCCTAGCAGCAGAACTCCACGCTTCAGGAACTCACATGAGGGAAAGTGTAACTTTCCAGTGAAGCACAAATTTTAGCATAACTTACTTACTGACCTGAACAGGGCCCACCTCAATGCGACCTGACCAAACCTGACCTATCCAAGTCTTGCATAACTTCTACAACATCACCTAGCAAGCTGCAACATGCAAATGCCCAAGTCTGAAGCACGATATCAGCTCGAAATCCTTGCCTTAACTTACCAAAGCTCAAAAGCCTTACAGCTCCCAAGCCCTAAACCCGAAGCTTTGCACAAAGCCCTATGCAACTCTTATACACAGCAGGGCTCAGTCCATGGCGTAGGCCGCTCCGACCCGCGACGAGATACCCGCGAGAGGTACGAACGGGACCTTGACGCCCATCTGCCACCACCTGTCAAACTTCTGTTAAGGTATTAATGTAAGACAAGGGTCCTGAAGGGCTTCTACAGCGGCTATTTAAGTGTACTACAATGGTTTCCAATACCCTTCTTTCACACAAAAGAACACACACACACACACACAGAGACATACACACAGATGCCCACTCACCCGTCGTGTACCAAGAGATCGCTCTTGAGAGCAGCTATAAGGGAGAACAAAGCATGTACATACATACTTGCATATATATATATATATACATGCGTACATACATACGTACATACATACGCACATACATACATTACATACATACAGACGTACGTGCATATCATATCTATATAGAACTGTATATAAATATGCACACACAAAGCTTTTAGCACATGGGTATATGTTTCTAGTAATTCTGTATGTATGATTTTCACGTAAGTGAGTAAGTAAGTAAGTAAGTAAGTAAGTAAGTATGTATGTATGTATGTATGTATGTATATGTGCATATATATATATACACATGTGTGCACAGTATGATGTGATGCTATGTTCTACTAAAGTTTTAGTTGATGTAGTATGAGGCTATGTTCTATCGCATTACATTACTTTGCGCTATATTGTCTTCATACACGCATACTAAACCTGATCTCAAAGCACGAGACTAAGGGCGCCGCATTTGAAGTGATAGCACCTCCTGAGAAAGCAGTCTGATCGGGGAGCCACTAGCAGTGTGGAGTAATTAGTGCTTAATATACGGGCCTTAATAATTAGAATACGGTTTGGGGGCCCATTATGCTATAAAAATAAACGGGAACCCCAAAAGTAGTATCGGTAATTATTTAGACCTCTATATGGACGAGGGATTGCGGAACATCGCCAATCGGGTGCAAACTGGATCCTTCGTTTATCTGGAGGCAGGCGACACTGCATTTCTAATCTCTAACGAACAATATAAACCCTAAATCTCGGCATCGTCCGGGACTCGGCCGCACAGCTTTTGGGTGGGGTTGTAGTTATTTAGGTAAATGGAGTGTGCGACTTGGAGGCGTCGGGTTCTTTTCGAACAACGAGTCCCTCGGTTCAATCAGGACCCCCATCATAATTTCAATCGCTTGCATCCTGACACTTAAACCCACTACCCTTGCCACACTTCTCACCAATCCCCAGATTCCCAGATTCCTGAACTCTGTTTTGCACCTTGTCTATGCATATGCCAGGAAGCGAGGCGCAGGTACCCTAAAGCCGGACCCAAACCCTAAACCCCAAGAAAGGAACCCTTAAAGGGATCACCCTGAACCCCCAGAAAGGAGCCCGTAGATCCCAAAACCCAAACCCTGAACCTCACCCCAAGCTGCCTGACAGGCTGCGAAGACGTCTGGGCCTGGTGAGCTCCTGCCGATGCCGCGGAGATCTGAAAGGGTTCATCTCTGCCTCTCTGTCTCTGGGTACGTTGATTTCCTAGGTTTAGGGCTTAGGGTTTATGTACCTTTAGGGTTAACGGTTTTTCTGGGTAGAAACTGAGAGTCGTATTCATGTTCGAATAAATGCATTGTATATATATATATATATATGTGTGTGTGTGTATATGTAAAGATGAAGATAAAGATATAGATGCAGAGAGAGGGGCTTGAGTGTGTGTGCCATGAATAAATGCGTATACACGCGTGTACACACCTATATCGATGGTTTGATCTGGCTCGTTATGACTTGGCATGGCATTAAGCCTTGACATGTGTGGATAAGTGTGTGTGTGTATATATATATATATACGCACACACGCATAGCATGCCGTCATTTGCGACATATTTTTGATTGGCGTGTATCTCTCTCTCCCTCTCCCTGACACAAGTACAAATGTTTACAAAAACATGCGTAAAAAGTATACGTACCCATATTTCTTAAGTTATGTATTTCTTGCTGTCAATATATGTGGGCAATAGACTTTGGGAGTTTACAGGCAGCACCGGTGCTGGCCCGTGGGTGCATGATAGTACCGTTGTAGCCCGTGAACTCTCTGTTAGGAACGTACTTGAGACATCTGCCAGCCTGATACAAATCAGTCGCGTCTTCGTTCAAGACCGAAAACTTGAAGCTGAGTCCAGCTGAGAACAGCTAATGTAGGGGCCTTAATAAATTAGAATCGTGTTTTGGAGTATATTGTACTGTTACTATAACTATAAGAATGAACCCCCAAAACAGTATAGGTATTTATTAAGGCCCCTATGTTATATGACCATTTACACTGGAGATGACCTGCCGAGCTGAGAACACGGCCACCAGGCGTGGAAGTCAGCCAACATGTCGGACCCTGGGTGGTAAGCACTCTCAGGCCGAACCTGTCTTTCCCCTCGCAGCCCCACTGTCGCGCGCAGCGTGGCTCTCTATCTCTCCTCCAGGGCGCTTCAGAAAACCGCCATGCAGCTGGAATACGAATAGCATCAAAGTTCCAGCGGTCTGAACCAGATCTAACTGCTCAGCTGAGACTAGTCGTGGGGATGGTGCTTCCGGTGGCGGTGCTCCGGCCTGCCCCCTCTGCCTCCCTCCCGAGCTGAGCTGTGAACTCCATGAACTGGGCACATCCGCCAGGAAAGCCATGCCAAACCTCTGCTGTCTAAGTCTTCAGGGCTTCCGGAGAACTCCTCATCGACATCGCTAGCTCCCAGAGCTGGATCAGACGATGTGTATGTATATGCTTACATATATATAGATATATACATATGTATATATGTGTACATATATATATATATGTACATCTAGATATACGTAAGTATCTGATCTGAATTCTGACTGCAACCCTTCACCCATCGCATCTTCTCCAACATCTTTCAAGAATGCATCGCCGGCGCTGGGGGCTCGGCACATGGAGTGCCGGCATAGTCATCTGACCACGGCTGGCTTGGGAGCTCCCAACAATCCCGATCGGCAAATAGCAATAAACTACAAATATACATCTCAACAAATGAACAGGTATATATACGCCTATGTATGTATGTATGTATGTATGTATGTATGTATCTATGTATGCATGCATATATTAATGTATATCTGCGTATATATATATATATGATCGGAGAGGGAGGGAGAGAGAGAGAGAGAGAGAGAGAGAGAGAGAGAGAAAGAGAGAGAAAGAGTGAGCGACACAAAGAACAAAAAGACAGAGAGAGAGAGAGAGAGAGAGAGCGAGCGAGACGAACAAGACTAAGCCCAAGCCCCTAATCATACCGTCGCCTCAGTTCCCACAAAAGATCATGCTGCAGGGTCCGCTTCTCCACTACGGGGCTGCAGTTTATTGGCGGTGAGCGCCACAGGCTTTGCATAATGCCGGTGAGGACGGGGGAGGTGCGGAACCTGGGACCCTAAAACCTGAGCTCCAAGAAAGACCAGATCCGCAAAAACAGAAGCCCCTGTCCTTTGGATTAGCGCTCAGGCATTGAGCCCCTCATGAGCCCAAAGCCTGTTTGATCCTTGAACCCGAAACATTGAAGAGTCAGTTGGTGCTTGAAACCACTCCTCTAGCCTCTAATCCCTAAACCCTCTAAAACCCTAAAACCCTCAAACCCTAAAGCCTTTAAGCCCTAAACCCTATAAACCCTAAAGCCCTAAAGCCTAAAACCCTAAAGCCCTGAAACCCTGAAGCCCTAAGGACTACCCCCGAGCTGGCCAGCATGTCATCGGCATGGCCTTGGAGGATTCAGCTCCTCTTCCTGCTCAGAGACTTTAGGGTTTAGGGGTTAGAGTTTAGGGTCTAGGCTTAGGGGTTAGGGTTTCGACTCACACACTCGCAAATGCAGGCATGGCGATAGGTGTCCGAGGGTTTAGGGTTTTTTTCCCTCTCGCGTGGCAGAGAACAAAGGTTTAGGGTTTCAGCACTCACAACTGGGACAAGCCTGGCGAGGTTCCGAGTACAACGACGATAGCACAAGGGGTTAGGGCTTGTTTGCCTCCCACCTAGCTAGGACAAAGCCCGCATTGCAGGGCAAACAGGGTTCAGGGCTTACACTCTCACAACTCGGACAAGCCAGGCGAGGATCCAAAGGTGCGCAGTCGGTGTGACAAGTTAAGAGCTGTCGATCGGGGTCAGGGTTTTAGGTTTAGGGGTTTAGGGTTGGAGTTCC